GTTATTAATGTCAATTGGCTAAAATTGCATACTTAATAAGCGGTAATGAAAAAAATAACTATTAAAAAATACTTAAATCTAAGTTTCCTTGAATAAAAATATTTCTTTCTTTCTTTTCAATAGATAATTAAACTAGTTATGCCAAATATTATAATAACCAAATCTACCGTCATTATTCTGATTGCTTTAGTTTGTTATCGGTACTTTCCATCACCGGTGTATTAGTTGAAAATTTACATTTGCCACTTTCCTTCAAGTGAATGTTCAAGTTGATTAAAAAACATGCAAACATTTTAGTATCATTTTACGGTCTACAAGTCGGCCTAGTATACCATTGTGCTGCGTCGTCCCTGTGTAAATAATTGTGAATTAAGTCGATGTCAAAATACATCATAGTTTATTACCCAATTCTACATCATACCCAGAAAAAAATATATTTTCATAATATAGTGAACAATAAACCCAGAGATACGATGGGATTTTTACTTTATTTCATTCTCTAAATAAAAGAAACTAGATGACTACAGTACAGTTTTATATAACCATCATATATTGTTTTTATTTTTATATTATTACAGAGGGTTTGTCCTCAAGAATACACTACCCCTATAGGTGCAACAACGTACAAAGATTTATACATACATACATATCTGTCACGCCTGTCTCCCATTAGGGTAGGCAGAAACAATGGAACGCCAAATGCTTCGATTCAAACAAACCTCTTTCGCTTCTTCCACATTCATCAATCTTGTCATACACGCTCGTCGGTTACGGGTACTTTTAATTTGGCCCTTCTTCAGCACGTCGCCTATTTGGTCGACATACGTCCGTCTAGGACGGCCCCTACCGACATCTCCATTCATTCTTGCTCGATAAATCTCTTTCGTAATTCTTCTTTCATCCATCCTCTCCAAATGACCAAACCAACGCAACATTCCTTTTTCGATTTTGGTCACTACATCGACTTTCAGTCCACACTTCTCTCTAATCACACTGTTTCTTACTCTATCTTTTAAAGTAATACCACACATACTTCTCAAAGCTCTCATCTGTACAGCATTTATCTTACTTTCATGCTTCTTCTGCCATACCCACGATTCGCTTCCATACATGAGTGTTGGTGTCAGTACTCCTTGAATTATAGCAAGGCGAGCTTTGCTCGATACATTTTTACTTGACATAATCGAGAGCAGTGCACCGTTAACACTGTTTCCCGCTTTAACTCTCCTCTCAATATCTCTTTCACACTTCCCATCCCTCGTAAACAAAGAACCTAAATATAGAAACTCACTCACTTGCTCCACTTTTTCATCTCCTATCATAATCTGGCATGCCGTTAAACTTAACAAAGATTTATATATATATAATTTCTAAACCTCATGCATTTAGTTAAAGTTAAAGTAAATTTTTTTTTTCTGATACAGGAATGCTTAGATTTTTTTTTATGAAAGTCGTGACGGTGACCTGAAGGGAGAAAGGGATTGTTAGTAATAGAGTTTAACAGCCCTATTGCTAGCAATATAACCGTCCACTTCGCCTGCCAAGCGTGGCAGCTACTGACTAAGGGGCTAGTGGGAGGTTTATGTTCAGCAGTGAACAGGGAAACAAAGGCTGATATGATAATGACGAGATATTGCTATATTTTTTGCTCTTTTTCACACTTGATATATTCCCAAAAGTTTAATATATAATCTAAATATAATCTGAAATTCATGATAATATTTTTACCTTACTCATATTTATGGCATAAATCATGGAGTGTACATAAAGCGATACCAATCTACCGTATAATACATAAATAAAGCCTTTGAATAAGAAAACAAAGTTTCCAATTTTGTTTCTCTCAATATTTCATTGAGGTAGTGTATAATTTGCCTGTAATTTTTTATAATACAGGAGCCAAACGAGCATGTGGCTCACCTGACGGTAAGTTACTACCGCCGCCCATGATCACCCGCAACACCAGAGGCATTGCAGGTGTGCTGCCGATCTTTTGCAAAGGAATATGCTCTTTTCTTAAAGGTTATGATGTAGTAATACTTACACAAGCAAATTATTTTAACGTGTGATCCCGTAGGCCACCCGTTTCCTTTCCCGTGGGTATCGTAAGAGGCCAAGGGAACTTAATGGTCGGTGAATGGGCAGCAGCACACCTTTTAAAACATCGCTATAATATGTATGTTATGCCGATGATTGCAACATAAACATGTATGTTATGTAAATAAATAAAATAATAAAGAATTCTACTCTCTTTAAGATTATATCGCTCATTAGGAACCATTATGATCAATTTCTAGTAAACTCACCACGATGGACCGATTGACCTAACTTGATCTAAAACATTTCGTCAATAAAAATGCCTCTAATACCTAACGTCCCTCATCAGGTTTTGAGACTTAAGATTTTTTTTTTATATTTAGTATTTAACTATTATTTACATAGAGTGCATTTTTGGTTGTTGCATGTAAAAATATATACACAAAGTACACTAAAATGGAGTGGGCGTGTAATTAAAAGTAACCGTAACTACACTACAGTCAAGAGTTCTTGGCTGCTCTACACCTGTTATGGCGTAAGTCATAACAGTTCGCGATAATCAAGTAATTATTCTTTTATAAAATTGTAATTCTTAAATTACCTATTTATTAATTTATTGCACTATGATTTTTTTTTTATAATTAATAAGCTTAGTGTTGTACTAATAACAATTAAATTAAATTAACAAAAGTATTACTTTAAAATATTGGTATTGAGAGTTCGAAGGGCGCATATCTTATTTATACTCGCAAACAGTACAGAAAATAAAACACCAGCTCTTTGAGCTTTCCAATGACAACTCTATATTTTAAATTATCTACATGCTAATAGTTTACAGATGGCCAGCTCGAAGATTAACAATTACTTCTTACTACTATTATAAATGTGAGTTCGTATGTTTGCTACATCTTAACTCTTTATTGACTCAATAAATTCTCTGTTAATTTAAAATACTTGTATCATTTTGAATAGTGAAAAACTTACTCTATAATTTACCTCGTCATGCTGTCCACCCCATAAAACATATAATTTTCTTAATATATTTTAGGTTCTTTAAAATACTTAAATGTCAAGTAAAGTGACGGTCCCCTTAATGTAAAATTGTAACCATCTCCTACAGACATGGACGTAGGATTACAAAATACTTTTTTAATATAATAATGTATTTATAACATAAAATTTTCGGTAAGGTCAACTTGGTCTAATATTAACTTGCTAAAATTGAGATTTACTTTTTCTCAAAAATAAAATTATTTATACTAAACTAGCATTTAATAATATTATAAAATAACATTAAATATATTATGTATAAGTAAGTACACGCTCTAAATTAAAAAAGGCATGTAATTAAAAGAAACCTTAAATATACTAGAATCAAGAGTCTCTCGACCTTTTTTGGTTCAAGTTATAACAGTTTGCGGATAATCAAATAATTAAAAAAATTAATCATAAGTAGGCAGATAATTGTAATAAAAATTGATACCTCCATTATTATCAAATTACGACAATATATTACATAAATAGATCACAATGTGGACCCTGCATAAATAATTGTGGTTTATTCCTTGTAAATTTATCACAATAAGCGAACAAATTTCACTTCTTCCTCACCCATAGGTGAAAATGGAATGGAATTATGGGACTAGCGGCCTCAATGCTAGCAATAGCAATATATCAAGTTATTCTCCACGTAGTCTCCCCTTCCCTCCTGGAAACCATCATGGTTCATTCTTACTAAATTCGTCACAGAAGATGCCTGACCTGCTTTTTATCCTCGTCAATCATCCATTATAGATACTACAGGCTGAGTTACCATTGTATTGTTTAATAAACCACCGCCTGCTATTGCCAATGATATCGCTGGCGCCTTTAAATTGGGACCGTCTAAATCAAAGAATGTACCCGCTGCTAAACTTGTGGGAGTAAATGTTAGTCTTCAATTTGTCGTGTTTTCTTTGTCTCTAGTTACAGAGGCACGCAGCGAGACTCTTTGAATAAGAAATGACTTTAAATATTCCCAAGATCAAGGTAAATGACACTACGATAAGGGAAGTACACATAAATAAAATTATAATTATTGATATAGGTTTTATATATTATATATATATATGTGTAGACAACGTTTATGGCCACCATAAACATGAACCATAGACTGTAGTAATCATAACATATACTTGTGACAATATTCTATGCAATACTCATAATTACGTTGGCACTCCATGCTGTTAATTGTTTCTTTGTACAAAGTGAGAAATTAACCGATCATTAATTATTGTGTACGAACAATTATAATTTTTTAAGTCACTTCTGAGGAAATGGAAACTTAACTTATATTAAAATCCTCATCATCATCTCAGCATCAGAGGGAGACATTGTACAAAAGTCGATTGCTTGGGTACCTCTGTCCCATTCGTGTTTCAACCGTGAAGCAGTTGTATTTGCATGGCTGTGTTTCTGTTTGAAGAGTGGGATATGGCGTGGATTTACTGGGTACAGAGGAATAACACCTGAGTCCTCAGGAATGGCAACGCATGGGGGTATCATGGGCGAAACAGTATACTCTGTTATGTCCATAGTACTGCTCATGTCTATAGGCGACCCTTACCACTTTCCATCAGGTGGGCCGTCAGCTTGTTTGCCTTTCTAAGTTGTATAAAAAAAAGCCATTATCTATCCACTTCTGAACATAGGCCTCCTCCAAACACTGCCATAAGGAACGATCCTAAACCACCTGCATCTACTTTACTAAGTTCAAGAAGATTTATACAGGTTGTAATCAAAATTAGAGATACGTACAGCTAGGAAACTACCCCAGTTATAAAACAAATCAAGGCAGAAATTTCGAGAATTCGAAATTCAAAAACGACAGAAAGTATTAGTAGAGGAGCGTTAAAATTGTTTGTTATTTCTAATCATTGTTATGTCATTATATAAATTAATATTTTTTTTTTTTATATTTTCAGGTGTTGACACGACATCGTGAATACTGATCACCGAAATGTAAGGCTTTTTTCATCTTATTTTTTTTTTCAATCACTTTTTCCCCATTATCATTATCATTATCTCGGCCATGAATTATCTGTCCATAGACTATTGTAAGGAATGGTTCTGAACCACCTGCATCCACTGATTCCCTGCAATGCAATTGAGGTGGTCACTCTGTCTAATGGGGGGCGAGGGGGGGGGGGGTTGTTATACTACACTTCGTTTGCCCGTACGTGGTCGCAACAAGAACTTTTCTTCGTTGAGCTATGTGACCAGCCCATTACCACTTCAGCTTGCTTATCCTTGGGGCTTTGTCAGTGAAGTAACTGTAAAGTAGTAGTAAGTACTACTTGTAAATAAATAAATAAATACTACGATGCTTGTTTCAAATCCTATCACACAAAGAAAGTCCGAGCCCTCTCGATTGTTTTCTATATAATATAAAAATTTTATATATATATAAAACAATATATATATATATATATATATATATATATATATATATATATATATATATATATATATATATATATATATATATATATATATATATATATATAAAGTCTTCAAATTTAAGATTTTACAATTTTGATATTTTTCACTGAACTACTAATTTTTTTTTTATATCTTGAATAATTTAATTGTTTCCTCTCAAATTATAGAAAAAAATCATAGTAGACGTCCCTTAAATAATAAAGATCTTAAATTAAATAAAAAAGGTATTAATTTTTTTGTAAAAATTCCTTCCTTATTTAATTTAGTATGTGTATATTTAATTAATATCCACATACTATATGGGATAGAGAAGGATATAGACTACATTTTATCTCAATTAATAAACAAATTCCGGCGACGATTAATAAGAATGATACAACTTCGCGTGTAAAAGCTAAAGCTAAATAAATTCAAAAGAAATAAAAATCAAATATTATTCGTTAATAAATTATTATCGTTAAATTCGTTAGAAAAATCTTGAGAACGGCTGGAGCGAATTGGCTAATTAATTTTTTGAATGCCCATAATAGTCCAATTAAAATTTTTGGGGAAAGAGAAATTGGAAAAGTTACCAAGAAAGTTGTGAAACAAATCACGATCTTTCTATGCACTCTCGATCATAACTCACGAACGGGAATGACGTTTTTAATTGATTCTTTTTATCGTTTCGTTCGTTATATTTTTAAAGTTATTTTTTTTTTAATTACATCGCGACGTCAATAAACAAATCTGTTATAAAAAAACAAACAAGCTTTCGTAGCTTTTGGACTTCATTATCAGACTCTTGCCTACTTTATATAATCTAGCTTAGAATATATAGATACAGTGTATCCATAGAGATGCTTCGAAAACAACGGATCAACTTTTCCATATAATTTTGCGTGATAAATAGTTATGAGTGATTCCTTTATAACTTCTATATTTATTTTATCTTATAAATTCTGAATCTTTTTAATGCATAAACACTCATTATATTTATTAAATAATACGTCAAGATACATTTTATGCGTAAATCTTTAGAATACTGATAAAAAAAAACGAGTCGGCTAACTTGATAATTAGCTGACAAAAATTGACCCGTTTTTGAGGATCAATGCTCTATCTATATTTTAAGAAACAAGTTAGTAAAATAATAGAACAATTACGATTAGTGAAGATTGCCGTTAAAAGTGTTCTATATAGAAACATCTTATAACAATTTTTTTATACACCTTAGAATGGCAAACAAGCTGACGGCCCACCTGATGGAAAGTGGTAACCGTCGCCTATAGACATGAGCAGTACCATGGACATAACAGAGTGTACTGTTTCGCCCATGATACCCCCCATGCGTTGCCATTCCTGAGAACTCAGGTGTTATTCCACTGTACCCTATAAATTCACGCCATATCCCACCCTTCAAACCGAAACACAACCATGCAAACACAACTGCTTCACGGTAGAAACACGAATGGGACAGAGGTACCCAAGCAATCGAGTTTTGTACAAAGTCTCCTCTCCGATCAAATCAAATCAAGATAGAAACGAGATACATTACGGTGAGTGTAAAAATACAAGCACCAAGTACCTATATATTATATTTCCTAAAAATCCTTCAGGATAAGTGTATTGGTACACGAGTCATGTCTTCAAGAAGAGGATGGCTTGATTAATACCTAGGGACTGGAGAACGTAGTACCCTTCCTGTAATCGTAGAAAATTCGTGGATGTGGCATTATTTTAATACCTTTTCAATTGTAGAGACGTTTATCAGGTACAACATTGTCGCAACAGTCCAAGATCTTGTCAGGAATTGTTGTTGTTGTAACTTACTTTATTCCGCAGTTTGATAAATGTCAGATTATTTATCTCTGTGTTTCAAACTAAGGTTTTATAGACTGGTTTTTTTTAATGGATAATTATGAAATGGTAACCCTACCTATATCATCGATATAGGTTAGCAAGGTACCATTAAGGACGAAAGCAGGTCAGTTGGCTTATTCAATCAATTTCAAATCAAACTTCAACCACAATAGTTTCTAAAAGGAACCAAGTGGAGGCCAACCTGAAAGGGTATATTCTTAGCAATGAGAGCGTTAGTCTCTCAAAGTAAAATTGCGGTTGAAAATTGCTCCTGCATTAGAATTTTTCAACGCCAAGTATTTATAAATAGAGTGTTGACTGTACACGACAATAGATGGCGTAAACAATAATTGTGTAAAAATGATTCAATAAATTATAGTAACATGTAGATAGTAGGAAATGAATCCTACTAATATTATTATACGTTATAAAATTTTATGATGTATTTTAAACTGACTTCAAAAAAGGAGGGAGTTCTCAATTCAACTGTATTTTTTTATATTTCTTTCAAACATCAACTAATTTGGAGAATTCTTTTCTATAAAGAATACTTTCAGATTGATTCCATAGAAAGTTTATCAAAATAGGCTTAGTAGTTCAATTATTTAAATGAAATTAATTTAAATTACATTAAATTAAATTAAATTAAATTAAATTTATTGCGATGAATGTGGTAAGTTTAGGTAACATTATACATTTTGTGTAACCATGACATGTTTTATTGATATTTGGCATAGACTTAGTTTATATTTTCACTTAATACATAAGATACTTTATATACTGATGGCCGCGGGCAAAACCACGGGTAACAAGTACGACAATTTACGTATAATTAGATCGAGAAAGATCGACTAATTTCGAGATCAAATCGTGATCCTTATTTACGAGCAGCTATGACACAAGCGCGAACTTAAGCCTATATAATGTGTGCTTACGAAACTTTTACAATAAAAAAATACGACAATTAATTAATTTCACTTTATTAGATTCGTCATATTTCCTTTGTGTGCTATGTATATATTTATATGTATCAAGTGTATACCTGTATATGTAGTATATATTATTTGTTATAATAAGTATTTTAATAAATTCTATGTATTTGCGGTTTTTGTATTTTATGTACGTAAAAACTATTAACTCACTCTTGCGCCACCTACCCACTTCTATACGTTCTCCTTTAATCAAAGGTTGTCTGTAAGAAATTGCCCTAGCGATAAGACCGCCTTTTGTACCTTTATGTACTCGTATATATTTTAATCTTTAATATAACTACTGTTTTGTAACACTTGAATTGTTTATATGTCATTGTTTATTTTTATGTTCCTGGTGAAATAAAGAGTTAAGAGTTAAGATTTAGATTAGTTAAGAGTTGTATGTATGTGTATGTGTGTATGTATTTGTGTGTGTGTGTGTGTGTGTGTGTGTGTGTGTGTGTGTGTGTGTGTGTGTGTGTGTGTGTGTGTGTGTGTGTGTGTGTGTGTGTGTGTGTGTGTGTGTGTGTGTGTGTGTGTGTGTGTGTGTGTGTGTGTGTGTGTGTGTGTGTGTGTGTGTGTGTGTGTGTGTGTGTGTGTGTGTGTGTGTGTGTGTGTGTGTGTGTGTGTGTGTGTGTGTGTGTGTGTGTGTGTGTGTGTGTGTGTGTGTGTGTGTGTGTGTGTGTGTGTGTGTGTGTGTGTGTGTGTGTGTGTGTGTGTGTGTGTGTGTGTGTGTGTGTGTGTGTGTGTGTGTGTGTGTGTGTGTGTGTGTGTGTGTGTGTGTGTGTGTGTGTGTGTGTGTGTGTGTGTGTGTGTGTGTGTGTGTGTGTGTGTGTGTGTGTGTGTGTGTGTGTGTGTGTGTGTGTGTGTGTGTGTGTGTGTGTGTGTGTGTGTGTGTGTGTGTGTGTGTGTGTGTGTGTGTGTGTGTGTGTGTGTGTGTGTGTGTGTGTGTGTGTGTGTGTGTGTGTGTGTGTGTGTGTGTGTGTGTGTGTGTGTGTGTGTGTGTGTGTGTGTGTGTGTGTGTGTGTGTGTGTGTGTGTGTGTGTGTGTGTGTGTGTGTGTGTGTGTGTGTGTGTGTGTGTGTGTGTGTGTGTGTGTGTGTGTGTGTGTGTGTGTGTGTGTGTGTGTGTGTGTGTGTGTGTGTGTGTGTGTGTGTGTGTGTGTGTGTGTGTGTGTGTGTGTGTGTGTGTGTGTGTGTGTGTGTGTGTGTGTGTGTGTGTGTGTGTGTGTGTGTGTGTGTGTGTGTGTGTGTGTGTGTGTGTGTGTGTGTGTGTGTGTGTGTGTGTGTGTGTGTGTGTGTGTGTGTGTGTGTGTGTGTGTGTGTGTGTGTGTGTGTGTGTGTGTGTGTGTGTGTGTGTGTGTGTGTGTGTGTGTGTGTGTGTGTGTGTGTGTGTGTGTGTGTGTGTGTGTGTGTGTGTGTGTGTGTGTGTGTGTGTGTGTGTGTGTGTGTGTGTGTGTGTGTGTGTGTGTGTGTGTGTGTGTGTGTGTGTGTGTGTGTGTGTGTGTGTGTGTGTGTGTGTGTGTGTGTGTGTGTGTGTGTGTGTGTGTGTGTGTGTGTGTGTGTGTGTGTGTGTGTGTGTGTGTGTGTGTGTGTGTGTGTGTGTGTGTGTGTGTGTGTGTGTGTGTGTGTGTGTGTGTGTGTGTGTGTGTGTGTGTGTGTGTGTGTGTGTGTGTGTGTGTGTGTGTGTGTGTGTGTGTGTGTGTGTG